TCAATTGTAGGTTCTAAATTTAAGTCTCAAGTTAAAATTTTTTTTTGAGTTGTGAATTCATTTTAGCTTTGGGGGCATATATATTTAGCCACTGCCAGTTTACTCCTTGGTACAATGAGTAGCTAAGTCAATTTTTTCTCTTAAAAGTCTAGGATTTCTCTCAAAGAACACAGGTTTGTCTAGATAGAATTAAAACTCGCCCATCACTTTAATGAATGGAAAATCTCTTACACTAAAATTCTTGGAGAGGAGAAACAAGGAAAAAGCACATGTAAGAAATATCTGAACTGCAAAATAATATCAATGGAAAGATAAATCATTTCTAAAACTGCCCCATATATGAGGCATATACTCTTCTACCTAGATCATTCAAAAGTATAGTTAATATTGTGGAACTGTGTAGAACTTTAAAACACCAGGAACTTGCTAACTATTATAGAGATTCCTGAATTATTCATTGCTTTAACAGAATATTAAAATGAGCATTTTTTGTGGCATTCACATCTGTCTCCTGCTTACAGGAGTGAGCTTTGTATTTCTGTTCAGTCTTATAGCTGCCTGTACACACTTGCCTGTCATCCCCGTCCTTTGCTTGCCTTTTCTTTTTAGCCTCTCTCTCTTATCACCAAAATCCTTTGCACACTGCTGAAATTTTAGTTATCAATACTTGTGCTGTCTAGAGAAAGAGCCTACCATAGGCTTTCAGGCTTCAACTCTATTATTTCTTTCAATATTTCATTGCTTTTTCCCCTTATCAAATAAGTCATGGAAGATGACATGGCAGGAAAATAAACAGTAAACAAAAGGAGGAACAGGAGGATATCATCTGAATACCAGATTATTATTTAATGATGGGAAGAATGAGTGGAATGGGTAGCTATTATGCATTTATCATTTAATTTAGAATTAGGTACTGGGCTAAAAAAAATAAGCCCCTTGCAGACATTTGTTAATTTAATGTTTATGCTGACCTTATGAGACAGTGTAGTGCAGTGGTTTTCAAAAGTCACTTTGGAGTGAGATTGCCTAACTATAAATTCTGGCTTTTTATTTTTGCTAGATATGTGACCCTAAGCAACTCATTTAACTGCTTCATGTCTCATCATTAAAATCAGGGTAATAACAGTACCCATATCACAGAGTTGTTGTAAAGATTGAGTTAATGTACCACATTAGAATAATGCTTGGATCACAGTAATCACCCAAAGAAAGTTTAGCTTATTACTGTTTCCCATTTTCAGATGGAGAAATTGAGGTTCAATTTGAAGTTCAATTTAATTGTTTAAGCAACTGACAATAGCAAACAAGTGGTAGAATCAATATTTGAACTCAGAACTGTTTGACTCCAAAGCTATTAGAGTTAAATGCCTCCACTGTCAACAACAATGTTCAAATAATGTAAGATCCATGGTTGAATGGCTGTGAATCAACAGTGGCCCCAGCCCATTAGCTCAAATTCTAGTCCTGGCAAGTGTTTTTTTTTTTNTCACACATTCCCACTGGCAAGTGTTTTAAAAACCAGCTCCAGACACTCAGAAGATGATTCTGCAGAATTTAGATAGAGCAAAAAAATAGGGATTCAACCCAAACTAGGAAAGACACCATCTCTCAGCTAAAGCTGTCCAAGGGCTGTTTTGTTTGCTTTATTTTGTTTTTTGTCTGTTTTGGAAGCTAGGAAAAACTGGGAGTTTACACTTAAATCTCATTATTATTTATAGTCTGCTAAAATTGTGTTTAACTATAGTCTGTATCACTTGGGATGAGTTAAATAACCCTTATGTTATCTTTTACTGATGTTTCACATATAGTTCTACTGTAAATTAGCCCTTCAGGTATTATAAAATTTTTAGACTGAATGGAACCTCCTCAACTATTGCAGTCATGAATTTGGGAGCCTAACTGGGCAAAACAGCAGAGCAAGCAGTTGCCCTGGAAAGGCTTAGTCCAGTGTGGGTGTGCTACGTGCTTCCTTGAGAAAGCCAATGTCCTCACTTGACCATTTTGTAACATTCAGATCCAAACCCAAACTCTCAATGTTTCCCACAAAGCCACTTCTGCAGTTCCCCCTACATCAATAAAAGTCAGCTTCATTCTTCCAGTTGCTCAAAGCAAACAAACTTGGTGTCATCCTTGGTTCTTGATTTTCTCTTGCAACTCACTTCTGGTACATCAGCAAATCCTATTAGCTATACTGTCAAAACATATTCAGAACATGACCACTTCTCCCCATCCCTTCTGTCACACTCTGGTTCAAGTCCTTATTATGTTGTGCTCAGATTACCCTAAGAGCTGCCTAGCTGGTCTCTGCCGTTTCCTACTCCAGAGCACCTTCAGTTACTCCTCTGCCCCAAACCTCCACGGGCTTCCTTCTCACTCAGGATAAAGTTAAGAGCCTTGCGGTGACCTATAGGTCCCATATCATCTGCCGTAACTACCTTTCTGACCTTATTTCTTGCTGTTCCCCTGTTTAGTCCCTCCTCTGTAACTGACCTTGTCTCACTTTCTGGAATGAGCCAGCATACTCTTGTCTCTGGGATTCTCCTTTTCTTCTTCCTTCTGCCTAGAATGTTCTTCCCTAGTTGCATGTCTGCAGGTCTTTACTCAACAGTCACCTTCTCACTTTCCCAGGATGCCCTACCTGTGTTTCAGCCCAGTGTCCCACCCCTGGTGCTGGTTAGCCCCGTTCCCCACAATATTTTTCCTTCTTAGACTTAGTCTGTGTCACTGTCTAATGTGTCTTACTTATTTATCTTGTTTATTGCCTGTCTCCCCACCAGATCATAAGCTCCATGAGGACAGAGATTTTTTTCTGTCTGCTTTGTCTGCTGCCATTTCGCCAGTGCCTGTCACATAATAGGCACTCAGTACATTTTTGTTAAATGTGGCTATATTTAATTCAGACAAAACTGAAATTATAAAATTTCCACACAAAAAGATAGCTAAAATAACTTTCATTTATAAACTTGTTAGCTACTCAGAGTCCTAATTAATAGTTTTGAAATCAGTTCTAATGATTTGACAATATGATATACCAAACTGGGGTATTTATATTTTCTGTTTATCCCACTTTCTGGAACATTTGATAGCAGCTTTCCACCACAAAAACATTTTTAGATTAAAATTACTTTGCCCCCTATGGTTATCTGTGGGCACTGGTAACAAATTGTTTGTTAGTGTGAAGTGAACAATGCTGATTGGCCATTGGGAACTCTAACAAACTTTAAATTTCAGCAAAATGCCCAGAGACTGTTAATCCTGCAGAAGAAACCAGGTATTCTGAAGTTAAAAGCTACCAGGTAATTTGGCTTTGTTGATTTCTTGATAGCAAATAGCTTTATAATAGAGTTTATATTTTCAGGATACATGCCATCCAGGTAGGGAGATTGCTTTTGAAAACAAATGCATATTGAAAGTATTCTCTACTGACAACAACTGTGTAATATTTAGTGCTTTGTTTTTTAAAATAGAGAAGTCATCAGCTCTAGAAATTATCAGCTAAAGTTGAATGCTTCACAGCAACTTTCTTTTTGATTGAACTGTTAGCATTATCAAGAACAATGGCAACTCAAAGACTATAATTTTACTTTACACCTTTACTTACAAACCAGAATAAGGATAATATGATCATATTCATACTTTCAAAATTCATCTGTGCAGCTGTTTGTACTAATCAGCATTGAGTCATTTGATAAATGACTTGTATTATCCTGATCCTAATGCTTGGACAGCTAAATTATAGTTAGAATTAAAGCCTTTAAAATTGTAAAAATTTAGAAAATAGCCTAAAATTTTAGAATATATTTAGTAGTTCTGTTAATTTATCTAAATACAAGTTTTTACCTTGAAATAAAGATTGTAACAGTGTTTAATTATTTTTCTCCTTAAAAGTGCTTTTCCCTAAGTAATCTCAAAGAATGGCATATATTTTTTTTCTCATACTGGTTGCTATATGTCTTATAGTAAAATACTTAACATTCATCAAAACTAAAAGATGATCATATTGATTTTCATTTCAGTCTAATGGGTACTTGATTTTAATGAGCTCACTAGATCCTCTTAGTATATTTACCTAAGTGTGAACATGTACCTTTATCCATAGCTAAATGTTAATGTTTTAAATGTAATTTTGTTGAGCACAATAAAAAATATGATTTGTCTTTAAATTAACTACATGTAGATTTGTCTGTAATAAGATAAGAGAATAGAAACTTACTCTAGTTGGCATGGCAAGAACACTGGCTCCATGGCTACATTGCTCAGATATTAATCCTAATTCTGCCCCTTATTCTGGGACAAGTAATTTGACTTTCCATGTCTATTTCCTAATATATAAAATAGGAATAGTAATGCCACCTAACTCATAGGGTTGTTGTGAAGCTCAATTAATTGAATATGTGTAAAATTTTAGAAGAGTGCTTGGCTCATTTTAGTATTCAATGAACATTAGCTCTTCATACAACTATTACATAAATTGTTTCACTTTCAGCCCACAGATGGCTATTAGCTCAGATACATTGCTAATAAATACAAAGATATATATTAGGGCCCCAGCCCGGTAGTGGACAAGATTTCATCGCTCTCAGTGGAGTCTTCTCCCTGGCTGGCTCACTTAAAAAGCCTACTATGAGTTGCTATACTAACTTAATGTATTATTATGAGTTACATAAACAATTAAATTAAATGATCTCTAAAAACAGAAGGAAAAAATTCAGGCTGACAGTACAGCAAATAAATACATCTATAAAATCCATTTCTATCAACTGACTTCATTGTTTTAATAATTTTGGACAATTTTTATTTTCACATTGGAATAATTAGGCATATGAAAGCTCTTAAAGTAGCTGCAGTTGAATATACATTATACATAGTATCTTTTTTTAAACAAAAGGATGGCTAGGGGAAAGGATATCTGTATATATTTTTGTGTTTTATTCATTCCATGGCTGCAGTTCATAATTGGCAATTCCTTAGGGTAAAATCTTACTGTCTTTTTACAGGTATTCTCAAAGATGCAAATTGTCTGTTTGGGACTGCTCCTTTTCAGTCTGACCTGGGCAGCACCGGTAAGCATTTACAAACTCAGTTACGCGTCGTATGATCTCTTGCTCTCTTTATCTAGTTTTCTTTTAAGCAATGTCTTTTTAAAGTAGTAATACTTACCTAGTTCTGTTACGATAAAGTAACAAGCAAAAAGAAAGCATCCAGCATCTGACACAATGTCTTTTCACCAAGGAGGCCTCAGTGAATGTGCTAAATTACAAGATGCCATCATGTTGCCTTTTAACAAAAACACCAAAAAGAGTATTTTTGAGAAAACCAATAGCCAGCCATGGTATTTCAAATCAGCTAATGCTAATGAGGAAATGCTCAGAGACCCAAGTTATAACCTGTCAAAAAAATTTATCCATATTTACTAAAAATGGAAAGACTTTGACTTGAATACTGTAAGGCTAACCAAGTAGATCTTGTAAATACATGGCAATACAAATGGACCAGAATTTTTCTGTAATCCTTGCAACACCCCTACACTGGTATCCTGCTGATGGTGTCATCTTCATCAGCAAGGCTAAAGACGGGAAGAAGTACCCCTGAGCTTAACCCACACGGAGCTCCGGTTTCCTTCTGGAACTTTCTTCTCTCTGAGGCACCCAGATGAGTCGTCAGGCTCTGACTACACTGTCCTGTGAAATGCTGTGTTGCAGATATTTTCTGCAGCGCAGACACAGTGCTAATTAGACAGTGTCTGGAAAGCATCCTAACTTCTCAGAGTAACCTTTTCAGTTGGAGAACCATGGAAACAAGTGGTTGTTCTGTTGTGAGAAGTACTTAAATATAGGTCCTGGGTGAGTGGGTGACTTTCTGGGTAACGTGCTGACAAGCATGGCCCTTGCCCTCTGGTGAGGACAGTGGAAGTTGAGGAAGGCACGTCCCCTCTGGAGTACATCCTATTACAGTTCTGTGGGAGCCATGCTGCTTAAAATAGGCATCTGCCAGGCCCAGTCCACACGACTGTACTCCGTCAGGGCCATAGAGGCCCATGCTTAAGCATGACAGGGGTTGAGTGGGCCTTGCTGACGCCGCTCATCCCAGCAACTGAGGATGCATCTATTTTGAGCAACATGTTCCAAGGAACAGCTGGAATGGCAGTGTCCGATCGTTTTCCAGTAAGTGTGTTATGTCAGCATCAATCCAGTGACCACTGGTCAAGAGAGGACACCAGCTTTCCTCCCCAGAGGGAGACAATGCCATCTCCATTACAAGGCCATGCTGGAGCCTGGGACAACTGCTGAGTGGGTGTTGCGTGGGGAAGGGTGGGTGCATATTTCAGATGAAAGTCTGGGCAAGACATAGCAACAAGTTTGGATTATCAGTAGCTAAATATGATGTTTTCCCCCAGATATATAGATTCTGTTTGAGCTACCTAAATTATTTAATAATAGATTGGTGATGTCAGAAACTCTTATATATTGAGTTACTTACATATGTTCTGTAATTATAACCCGAATTCAAACTGTAGGGGAGGAAAGTTTTCCTCAGCCCTCTTCATGTCTCTAACTGGGTCTGAAAATTAACCTGATAAAGACCAATTAACAGGAAAAAAGCATGTAGATTTTATCAAATTTTACATGTACACAGAAACCCTCACCAGAGAATGAGGTCCCAGAGAAGTGACCAGAGCAGGAAGTGCTCACACATTTTAGACAAAGAAACAACACATTGATGAAGAATGGGTAAGACAAAGGGGTTTGGGCCTGGTAGGCCAACGTGGCCTAGGTAGTTTTGACCTTCCTTAACTAGGAAGATCAGGGTTAATTCACTAAGATTCCTTGGCAGATGTCTCTGGTGCCATCTCTAGACTGATAGGAGTATGTCTCCAATGAAAGAATTTATTTCCTGCCTTTTGGCAGAAAAGGGGAACTTTTTCTGCATTTATGACTTCTTAATTGCCTTCAGCTCAAAATAATTTTTATGTCAAAGAGGCATATTTGGGGCTGACATTCTTCCTTAGAAAAACAAAATTTTTACATGGAAAAAAAAAGATGACTATTGGGCCATATGATTCAGTGAATATTCATCAATATGCAATTAAACTATAAAGACTTTGTTATCAGTCACCTTGTAAGTTCATGGTTCATTACTGTGAACTATATTAAGGTACTGTATACTTTCAATTATGTTTTTAATATATGCATGTATGTTCTGGAAGAAGCTGCTTCAAATAGTCTTTTCTTTCTTTTGCTTAATATCTACCCATCTCATTTTTATGTTTCCTCTTTCCTATAGCCCCATTTCCAGAATGATTTTCACTGCTTTGATATTTTTGAGAAATGACCCAGTGATCTACGTATTTATGTACAAGGTCATATAAGAACCAACATAATAAAGACAAGTTATAAAATATGCTTCAAGGTACTTAATATAAACTTCAGGAATATTTCATTTTACTATTAAATATATTTTTTCATATACCAGGTCATTTAAAAATGTATTATGTTAGCCCTGGGACTTTGAGACAGAGGATTAAGGTTAAAAGATCTCCTTTACTTCTATGACTACAAGCTGCTTACGTGTAGGCAGTTCTGTTTCTTTTACTGCCTATCTCACTGGGGTTATTATGGGAATCAGGTGAGATTATGTACATGAAAGCAGGTACAAACTGTAAAGTGCTATGTAAATACAAGGTGTTATTGACAGACTATTTTTATTTCTAGAATGGAATGGAATCTTAGGCAGATCTGCCTTGGAGCCCAGTCAATAGAGTACTTTTACTAAAGTTTTAAATTTATTTCTAAGATGATTTTATCAGTCAGGGTCCAGTTAGGAAAATGAAATCCATGATAGGGAGTTCATTAGAGGGATTGTATTCAGAGAATAGTTATAAAATATAGGATGAACAGAAAGGGCAAATCAAGGGTGGGGAGCAGTCCAAAGACTGAAGTGACTATCACCGCTTGGGCCAGAGGACCAAGGAAAAAGGTGGTGCTCCCAGTGCACTGGTTGGGGGAAGGGGCCCCACCAGAAGTAGGACCACCAAAGAGATGCATCTGTTTCTGGAGATGCATCCAGAGAGAACAGGCAAGAAAATACCTTGGCTTCTTCCTGCTTCTACCCTCCAGTCTCAGGCCAGGCCTCCCATCTGCCAAACCCAGACTGAAGCCAGAGGGCAAAGGAGCTCAAGAAAAGAAGTTTGTAGGGACCATCCATCCCAGAGAGAGCAGAGGTGCGGAAGCTGAAAGTGAGCAAGATAGATGCCCATCTCTTACAGTAAAGGAAACAGAACATTGAGGTTTATTCAGGAAGATAAGGCGGATAGGAACTTTTTGTTCAATCTTTCCCTTGAGGGTTTGTCTCTCTTACACAGTTGCTACTGCCTCAATGCCTGCTTCCCCTGCAGCATCCTCATTCAAACACAAACCAGTGCCACCCACTGTTCCTCCTCCCACATCTGAGATGACCTAGGAGTTTCAAAGATAAATGGGGAAATAAAAATACTGAGAAAAAAAAGAATGATTGTGTTTGTTCCCTCCATAGCAAGCCTGCTCCTAGATTCTCAGGTCCTCTTTGGCACACACTCCCGTGGTACCTAAATTTTAGCCCAGAAGACTGGCACCAAGCCACCGGGGGCTATTCTTCCTCAGTTTCTGGCCTTTCTCTTTCTCAGTACCTACCTCGCACCACCCTCCCCACACCTTGCTTCAAGATATTTTGACACTTTTGTATCCGACCAAGAGAAAGTATTTATCCCAATCTGCAGACCACGCCATTTTCCTTTCCCTGAAAGAAGAACCTGTCAAGTGACTGTCAACAATAAAGCCCCGTTACTGAGAGCAGTCTTACCCCTTACATGCAGGGCTATGGTTTTATTCCTGCTGGACCATCAGCAACATCATATCTTAACTCGTGAGGCAAATACGAATTTATACTATCAAGGCATACATATAATCTGCATCACTGAACTCTGGTTCTGGTTCATGGATACTGAACAACTTTTTTTCCAGTGGATATCAGTGACATCGGAGCTTCCTCTCCTGGAGTGCCACCCCTCCCAGCTTGGCTGTTTGTTCTCCTCTGCTTGAATGTGGCTCTGTAATGGAGATGGCGCTGCCTCACTCCTAAGGAGGGAAGCCCGGGAGGGGGCCTGGCACCCTCTTTTGTAAAACTGAAACAAATCTATGTCATGTGTCTGTCTTCTTTTTTCCAAAATGATTTTCCACATTAAATAACACAACCCAGTAAGAGAAAAATAAATGAAACATTTACTGTTTGAAAAATGAACAACGGAATGAATGTTTGGTGAAGTTTATTTCTTGTTTCCTTTCAGGCTTCTCAACCACAGACTGAGAAAACTAAGCAAGACTGTGTGGAAGAACAGAAGGTAAACAGAATTATTTTTCTCAAATAAATCTGTTTCAACTCTGTAAAGAAAAAGGCAGTAAAAGGAAAAATTTAACTGTCAAAATAGTCTTGTATACTTAGAAATAAAAAATTACACAACATAATTTTGGCACTTAATTCTCATAATGGTTGATAGAAAAGGGAAATGCATTCTGAATGGAGATTTGTTTCTCTTTAGTATGATTGCTTCCTCCAGAGGGGTAAATGAGGAAAACTTCTGTGGTGTTATTAGCAAACTATTTTCCCACACATGTACGTAAAAACAAAGCAATAAACTGTGGAGAAAACACAGGGAAGGGAGTTAACAGGTCCTAGTGGGAACTTAGGATAATGTGGAGTGAGTTTCCTATCTGTATCCAGAAAGTTAAACAAGTACCCTCAGCTTTCATGTCACCAAATTGCAGCTTACTTCTGCCTAGCATGGTTTTCCTTCTGACAGTCTCAGAAAATTCTATTCAAAGAACTAACAATCTTCTGTTCTTTATCTCAGCTGAAAATTACAAAGGCAAAAACTGCAAACAATAGTCTGAAAGTTCATGCTGTGAGTTTTGCTAATTTGACATCAGACATGAATACTGTAAAACCTGCTTTTCTCCTAATTCTCCCACCCCCTTCCACCTGAATGTATTTCCAGATGCTCCCTTCACATTGAAATTTGGTAATAAAATTGATACACCCTGATAGAGAGTGGTTGAGAGTCATCCCTAGGGAACATGGATGTAGAGATAAACAGGTAAGAAAGGAATGAGTTGCTATCTTCAGGAGTGAGCTGATATACGCCCTCTTGCGTTTATAAGAAAACCACCATTTGTTAGAGGCAGCATTAGACCACCCAAGTTCAAAGGCATCTTGTACTATCAAAAAGAGAGCCAGAAACCTTCTTAGTAAGAGATAAACTCATCTTAATATAACATTGTGTTTTTGTAGATAACGTACAAAGGCCACCATGAGAGACAAGGGTATTATATGTATAAGTACATTCACACATCATCTGGGAGGAAAAATCAAACTGACATAAAGGTAAGTGGAACCCCGGAGTGGTCATCCTAATGATAAGCCCCAGTCTGGACAAAGCCTACCGTGGAACTCTGTGTTCCAGAGCCTTCCTCACGCAGGTGGGCCCTCTGGTGCCCTGGCCCAAACCCTGCCCTGCTTCAAGAACTGGCCCTGCAAGTGTGGCACTGGCCAACTCCGGATGCCCATGCATTTTTCTCATTATTGTTTCTAGGTAGCATTTGGTTTTTTATAAGGAGGGTTTCTGAACATATTCTATTATTGCTACAAGAATTTCCTGGAGGGATGTAAAAGAAATGCCATCCCCTGAATTGTGAGGGATGTTGTCTGGCCAAAGAACAACTTACACAAGTCCAGCTTGGTGAGTCAATGAATTTTATTAAGTGGTGGCAGCACCCAGGCAGCTGGTCTACAAAGTTGCTGTTCTAAAATGGTATCTTTAAACAAAATGGCTTCACTTCGGCTAGGTTTCTGAGGGTCACCTAGGCTACAATCATATACTCTAATGGTGAGGATTAGAAGGCTAACAGCAGAAATCATTTTGGCCTGAAGAGTGACATGTTTTAGTGCCCCTTAAAAATTCATTCCACTAAAAAAAAAAAAAAAAATTCATTCCACTGATGATTCCATCTGTGTAAGGATGCTCAGAAGAGAAAGAATAAGGGCCTTGTCCCTGGAAAAGGACAGTAACTCTTTTCACTCAGTCCCTTCTTGCAGATTCATGGGCCAAGGGGCTGGAAACTTAAAATGCCATCAGCAAAAGGGCTATTTACTTCTTCCAAATCTGGCTTCATTTCCCATGAAAGTAGTTGTTTCCCTTCAGAATGTTATTTGGTTCTGCTCAATATTCTTTAGATACCATCTCTGAGATTAATTCACTTGTTCACTGAATAAGTTAAAATTTATTTGTTGTAATGAATATGCGTTAGGCTTCTCCTATTGTGCAACATAGTGTGTAAGATAAAATGATTGAGAAAAAAATTATTTGTCTTCTTAGAAGTAGAAAAGAAACAAAAAGCACTTATAAAAATCATTATAACCCAAGACAGAATGTGCAAAGTGCTATGTGAGTAGCACCTAAAAAGTTGTGTTTTAGAGGCTTACAATAGAAAAAGGTTACTTCCTAGTCTGGTGTTCAGAAAAAGCAACATAATGGAAATAACTGATCCAGGCCTTGGAACATTAGTAGAATTTGAGCAAACAAGTGAGTAAGAGAGGCCCACTTCTATTCTCTATGAAAAGAATAGCATGAACCAAGGCATGGAGATAGAAAAGCAGAGCACAGGAAATCAGACCAGCTGACTGATGCATGGACCATCACAGAAAAGCAACATCACCAGAAATCATTTAAGATAAGCACATGCAAAAATGATTGACTATCACATACCACAGTTTAAAAGTTGTTTCATGTTTTCATTTATAAAAGAGCTCCACTCAGTTTTTAATGAAACACATAGGTCATTACTGTACATGCTATTGTTTTTAAAGCAGTAGAAGCACAAACTTCAGAATAGGATGAGGAAAAAAAATAAGAAGGTATTACTATAATCTACTGATTTTCTAAGGTATCTATTTAACTCAAAAGGATATATTAGTAATGAGCAAGATGAATTTGATTGCAAGGGAAAATATAAATATCCATATAAAACTTTCCAAGAATGAATGACACAAAATAAGTAAAACGTTTAAAATACTTTTATTCAGAAATAATTTACTATAAAGTTTGTTTCTATTATATTTTTTCCTCATTGCAAAGTCTTACTTATCTTCAAAATGTTTCTGCCAATATAAAAGATGAGTGAATAATGATGTCATAACTCCCCAAAATAAATAATTTCAAATTATATCTTAAAAAGACTGCAAGTTGGAAATTTTGTGTACTGGATCTTAGCCAGTTTCCTAAGAGTAGCCATAAGCTATTTTTATCTTGAGATTCAAGTGTGAGATGATTCAAAAATTTCTCCACTGCTTTGAACAGTTAATAAGATACATGTAAAAGCAAGCAGTCCCCCAAGTAGAACAGTACTCTTGTTTGGGGACAGAGAGAGTGAGAGCAATTACATCCATACTGGATAACACAGCAGCAGGGTCCACAAGCTTACAACACCTGCAGCCGGAGGATCACATTCAGGTAGTACGTGGACAGAGGGCTCCGGAACTAGGCCACTGCCACTGCCATGTGAAAGAAGTACCGAGACTGGGAGAACATGCGTGTCTCCCATAATCAAATGGCTGTCATTCACAGTATGTAGGGAGGTACTACACTGCCATCTGGTAAAGAGCTATATACACGTCTGTGTGAAATGACGGTTGCCATCGTTTATACCCCATAGACACTATGTCAGATGTTTCATATGTACTGTATCATTTAATGGAATCATTGAATTCTCCCAACAATCCTGAAAAGTAGGTATAATTTTTCTTATTTTAGAGCTAAGAAAGCTGAGCATCAGAAAAGTAAAATAAGGCTCCCAAGAGCAACACAGCTCATAAACAACAGAGCTGGGCAATTGCTTCCAATACCCGTACTCTTTCCAGAGCACACCTACTTTCAGTGAACACTTGCCTGAGGGTTCAGGGGGGACCCTTTGGCACGTGCTGTCTACTATTCCACTAAATGTGATTCCCAGGAGTTTGGCTTCTCCAAATGCAGGCTATCTCCTTTGCTATCTTCCCTACACACTTGTCACGTAAGTCCAAGCTTCCAGATGAATAAATGTTTTTTTTCCATCTGGGAGCTCTCATATATTATGTATTTAATTAATACATCCAAGAAGATGTCCACATGCTCAACAAAAGCCAGCAGATTAAAGTGGTGTCCAGATATACAGAAAAAATAAAGCTGTATTAGTAAAAACAGGACTCTGATGAGGGCAAGGCATGCCTGGTCAAGGCTAATAAGGCCATCAGAGTCTGGTGTGATTTGGGACCCCACCAGCTCAAGGAGATCCATAGACAGGTGATTGGTCTGAACACAGTAACATAGTAAGAGAAATGCAAGTGTCAACTTAGAGAAGAGAAAGCATCATCCAGTGAGTCTGGAGTAAATATTTACTTTTCCAAATATTGGAAGAGTTGCACATTCAAGAGAAATAACCTTAACAATTGTTGCAGCAGGAAAGAAAGGATACTAGTTGCTTGTTGTGGGTTTAAAAAAAAAATCTTGAAAAAATTAGAATATCCGTAAATAAAAAGACCTAACATGAAAAGTAACAGCTCATAAAATGTTCAAGGAGGGAAGAGCTGGTCGTAGCCATGGATACTGGGAAAGACCTGTATTGGGTGAACAAGATGGGCTGTGATACCCAACTCTACCTCTAACTGGATATTGCTTTTTGAGCTCAGGTTCTATATCCTCTCAACATCAATATGTCTAATATTACAGTGATTATCTTTTTCTCTTATCTTCATTTTTGCATGTCAACATTCCAGTCCATTTTAGTTATTAACCCTTCTTCTATTTGGGCACCAATAGAAGGTGTTTTTTCTTTGGCATAATCCAAATCCAAGTGATTACATCTCATTCCTGGACACTGTAGCATCCTACTAACTCCTAATTTCTTATTAAAGAAATTTTACCGTAAGTCCTTCTAAACTCTTGACTTTTATTCTGTTAATCTCTTGCTAATAAACCTTCACTATTTCTTTATCCCATGCAAAATAAACTGAACTCTTTACCCTAGTGTCCCAAGTTGTACAGATCTCTGGCACTCCGCATGTTTGTGAGAGCAGTTAGATATGAGGTCTCTGCTCCCTAGCCCCATCCTCCATAACTCTGCCATACTCTTGCCTCTGCCCTTCAGTAAGTCCTTGGATATTGCTTAGAACATGTAGCACTCAGCCCAATTTCTTACATATCCCAGTCCCTCAATAAATACTTATTTTTATTTTTATATTAATCACTCATTCAAAGGCCTATGTAATGATGTCATAAATTTTAGCTCACCCTACAATTTTGAGGTGGAAAGAAAGCGTGATGTTTATTCTATAATTGTTCTGTTACTCAAGAGCTTCCACCCATGGGTTAATGCAGTGTGGAGGGAGCATACAGAAAAAATTCAACCTGTTTAAACTTAAGGTTATCTAATCATCAAAATTGTTCTTTGAGTAAATCTTTCAGTCTCTTTTGGATAAAAGCACTCAGGCCCTCACTCCCCCTCCTTCTCCCTCTAAGATGGCATGCAGGCATATGAGGGAGTACTGTCCACTGCATACCATACCCCAAATGTACAAACATGGCTTACACCAGAGTGGAGAGGAAGACATGGGATCCTTGTACTTGGATGGGGCAGTGCAGATTGACCACTTGTGTGCTACTTATCCTGCTGCTATCCTAAGATAAAGTCTCTCACTACCATAGCTTAGGATCCAAACAGCACAGTTGTGGCTGGGGTCCAGTGGGGATTCAGCCTCCCTTGATTCTCATCAACAATTCAGCCTCATCTCTGAGTATGAGTCACACTTGTCCCTAGTGTATATGCTCCACCTACATTCCTCCTTTTAGTCATCTCACTTCTTACACTGTGACACTCTGGAAAGCTCTTGACCAGACTCTCAGACACTTTCAGATCTGGGCAATGTCACAGAGGAACAGCAGTGCAGCACGGGCAAAGCCAACGTCAGCCCATCTTGCTAAGGCCCACACTGTTCTGTGGAGTGGCTGCAACCTGACTGCAGTTCTGGTTGTCAGGTGCAGCCTGTTACGTGGCCTCTCACCCACCATCTGCCGCAGAGGGACAACCGTGCACAACACTCCCCTCACTTCCCCACTCCATCCTTCTACCCTGTTATCTCCCAGGGACTTGGCTTGTCTGCACCTCTATCGCACACTTATAATCTAGAATAGTAGCTCTCAAAGTGTGGTCTACAGCATCATCATCAGCTGGGAGCGTGTTATAAATGCAAATTCCAGAGCTCTACGCAGACCTCCGAGTCAGAAACCCTCACCACTGGGTCCAGCACTCTGTGTTAGCAAGCCTTCAAACTACTCCCAATATGTGCTACATTTGAGAACTATTGATCTAGACAATCAGACTTGGTCTATTATATGACAAAGGGGAAGAAAAGGAAATTAATTACACGTTTTTTCAGACAGTGGCTGGAAAACTGCTGCAAAATCCTTGGAAGTCAGAAGCTGAGTATTACCTAGATTCCTCTATATGTATGTTTCTGTAAAAATAAGAAAAAAAGAAGAAATAAAAAGGAAAATAAAATCTTCCTCTAGGTAGATGAGTACCTCTGAAGACCAGGACAAAAGCAGAGAGAGAGAAAGGGAATAACTATTTTTAAAAACATGTACTCCATTTCATGGACAATGACTCACTAGTTACAAAATGAAGGCCACCCTCTTTCTTTCTTCTAAAAATGCCACTATTATCAATTTGCATTTAAACATCTTGTTTGGTGTAGACTCACAGAAATTTTAACAGTGAACTTTGCATTTTTAATCCAAATATTTCTCTTTGTCTCAGTGCCAATCAATGTTAAACTAGTCACTGAGATTTTAACCATGGTTTCAATGTCTTTGATTATATGAATTATATCTCTATGTTTAAAGAAGACCATATTTTTAAATCACGTGGTCCTTAAATTCAGAACCTCCTTCAAAATCAGACCCTAACTGACATTTCCTAATTTATTTCTCATTCTATTATTTAGGATCTCTCTACTTTAACTACATAGTTTCATTCATATCGTCTTTCAAATGTTTCTTGTTTCCAAACATTTGAATATGCCACTCACTTCTAAAATATTCTCACCACTTCCCTTCCATGTATCTGAATCCTACCCATCCTTCAAGCCTTGTTCATTCTTCTGTCTCCATGAATGCTGCTTTGGCTACTATGGAATTATGTCTACTAACAAAACTCTGTTAATAGACTCTTTTTTATTTTATTTTATTTTATTTTTATATTGCCTAGGAATTATTAGATTGTTTACATTTAACATAAAATAATAATCTATGTTGAAAATTACACTTCAGCAGGAAGAAAAAAACAAAGACAATATTGCTTCTCACCATTCTGGCAAGAAACGAAATCAAAAGCCAGCACCTAAAGAAAATATGGTCCAGAAAAGAGGAAAAAACTTGTCTCTTCTTGAAGCCAATGACAATAGCCTAAGTAGTAAATCCAAAAATCCTTTAGAAAAAAGACAGACAATGAATGAAGACTATAGTATCAGTAACAAACAAAATACCCACAGTGACCTGAAGGTGTCCACTTATCATGAATCCACTGAGGACAGAGATGATGCCATCAGCCAGCTACATGGCCAAGAAGAATATGGTGCCACTGTCATCAGAAATATGCGACATATGATGGAGCCATGGAATGTGCTTGAACTCTCCGGGAAGGAAAACAGAGAGAACAAACTCAGGAATGTCCTGAACACAATTCCAGCAGGTGCCCCCTCAAAAGATAAGAAGAATCATCAAAGAGATCTCCAAGCCCACAATATTCCAGTAAAAAACAAAAGCACCCACCATATCGCATTCAACGCTGTCTATTCAAAACAGCTTCCAAAAGTCAAAAAAATCCCCAGTGCTTGGGAAGGCAGTGGTTACCCAGACCTTCAAAAGAGGGGGGACAATGACATTGTTCCTTTCAGTGGAGACGGCCAACCTTTTAAGGACATATTGGATAAAGGAGAAGCTATTGGTCCTGACACAGAAGGTGCAGACATTCAAGTAGAGTTTTCCAGTCCAAGTGAAGCTGAGACTGTGAATCCTGATGCAAGAGGACCAGGTTATAATGAGATCACAGAGGAAGAGGAAAATGGCAGAGATACAATTGGAACCAGGGATGAAACAGCAAAAGAGGCAGATGGAGCTGATGTCAGCCTAGTGGGAGGCAGCAATGACATCACAGGAAGCACTGATTTTAAGGAACTCCCTGGAAAGGAAGGAAACAGAGTGGATGCCAGCAGCCAAAATGCTCACCAAGGGAAAGTAGAGTTTCATTATCCTCCTGTACCTTCAAAAGAGAAGAGAAAAGAAGGCAGTAGTGAGGTAGCTGAGAGCGCTGATCATAATGAAATTCCAAAACATGGCAAAGATAGTAGTAGAAAAGGTACAGAGCATTCTGTAGTGAGTGAAAAGCAAAGGCTGCCTCATAAGGGCAAAAGTCAGGGCCGGCTCATTCCTTCTCATGGTCTCAATAATGAAATTAGAAATGAAATAGGTCCCCATGATTATACACCCCACAGACAAAATAATTCTACACGGAATAAGGGCATGCCACAAAGGAAACGCTTCTGGGGTTACAGAAAACCCCATTATAGGAGGAGGTTTAGCGCCCCTAAAAAGCATGACAGTAGTGAATCATCTGACAGTGGCAGTTCGAGTGAGAGTGATGGCGACTAGTCCACTAGAAAATCCCAGCAGGACACAGGTTTGAACGCCTGGACACCGGTGACGTGATGGTGAAGGCAAGCCACGGAGAGGAGGCAGCAGATGGAAGGGCGGAGCAGCAACTGAGCAAGCCAAGACCTGGCCTCTTGGCGAGAATTGTTGCTATTTTTATGGGTATAGTATGAAATTCTATTCAGTTATGACGCATTTTTTATGGAAAAAATTCATTAAGGACTTATGGAAGAGATAATATTTGAATAGCTGTCATTTAAAATAGTTTGTGAATGTCACAAAAGTCTTCCTTTATTGTTTGCTCTGTAGACATGAAAATAAACAGGATCTCTCCTATGATAATCTGTCATTAAATCCATCTGTAAGAAAGTCCGTTGTCTGTGGTACTGCATTTCAGAGGCAAAAAGGTCAGTCCTGCCTCTGGCAAGGGCAGCGCTCTGGAATGAGTGAGGGAATAAAGCCCGAAAGCATTCCCCATCCCGCCCCGGTTAAGCCAGCCTTTCCTTTTTTCCTCTGACTTCCCTCTGCTCTAATGAAGATACCCTACTTCACATCTTCCTATGCTCCTTCCTATGTTGCACATTTATAACTTTTTATAAGGCATTTTTTGTTTCCTGAAATGAATCTCCATGTTATTTTTCTTAATTCTACCCCCTTTCAGAGAAAGGGGGAGTGGGATGGAGGGCGGGGAGCCGGGAGAATTTGAGAAGGGGAGGCACAACTGCAAAGCCAAGACAAAAACTTACTTGGTAGGTCCTATTCATTGACTGATCCCAAATCATTTCCAGCCCATTTCTTCTTCCTGTCCTTTAGTATACTTGCTTTTCCAGCTAACAGCCTAGTGAAACTCTTCTGGAAATTAGACCTAAGCTTCCTGGCAAGGAGTGGAGTTCTGGAAGGTTTTTGCTCATTCTGATAAGGAGAGTTTATAGCTGTCATTTAAACTAATACCACCCCTTCTCCTTTCGTACCCTAGTCTTTGCTTGACATTAGCATGATGCTTGGAGTACAGGCACCATTTTATGATTGTGAAGGAAAGGTGTAAGGTAATAGAAAATACATATATTGGTCTCTTCCCCCAGCTCCTGGCACAGAACTCCTAAAACCCTTGCAATTTCCTAAGTGATAAGAGCATGAGGAGCATCTTTGGTTCAAATATTTGGTCTCTGACCTCAATTCCTGACAGAGTTCCTAAATCCCTTGGAATTTCTTGGGTGATTGCAGTCTCTTTTGTTCTAATGAGGTGACTCTCGGTGGGCTTCTGGGTAGGGGCTGGTCACCAGAAAGGCTAGATTAGAAGCTTCAATTTTTCAGCATTACCTCCCATTCCCCAGAGTGGGGAGAGGGGCTGGAAATGGAGTTAACAGTTGATTGTGCCTATGTGATGAAGCCTCCTTAAAAATCCCAGAATGTGGAGTTCGAAGGGCTTACAGGTTGGCAAACACCATCCAGATGTTCATTGGTATCCTTTACCCTTTCACAATAAACTGGTGAACGGTAAGTAAAATGCTCTCCTGAGTTCTGTTCACAACTTTAGCAAATTAATCAAACCAAAGGAGGGAGTCATGGCAACCTCTGATTTACAGCCAATGCATCAGAAGCACAGATGACATCCTGGACTTCAACTGGCATCTGAATTGGGGGCAGGGGGCAGTCTTGTGGGACTGAGTCCTTTACCTGTTATCTCTGAGTAGATAGTGTCAGAGCTGAGCTAAATTGTGGGACACCATCTGGTGTTGCAGAGGTGGTTGGTGTGGGAAAAAACCCACACGTCTGGTGTCAGAAGCATCATAAGTCTGACAGCAGGGTGAGCAAGGACAGAGGGGTATGTGTTCTAACACAGAAAGGACACAACAATCATAGAGATGCCACTAAACCAGCTCCCTCAACCTTCTGCCTCCAGGGTACTTGTAGTGTGAGCAAAATAATTCTCTATTTGTTAAGCAACTGTTCTTTTTTGGTTTTTGATAGCTGAATTTAATTTCTAACTGATATACTTCTCAGTTCCTGACATTCCTCTAAAGGAGAAGGGCCAAGAGAAGAAAGAGAGTGAAGATAAAGAAAGGTACACATTATTTCTCTTGCTCTTTAGAGGAAGTTCCAAACAGCAGAAATCATGACTGGCACATAGACTACTGAGTTGAATAGTCTACATAACACAAAGGAATACAAGTCAATGTCAATACAACATTATAGTGCCTTCAAAAAATCTAGACCCCCATAGTGGGTGGATAGAAGGTGATTTTTTAATAAATAAAAGTTGTAATAAAAGCTATAGGATATATCAGATTCTCCACATACAATAAATAATAATGGATAACATGCCATTCTTGTTAAAATTCCTTTAATCTGCATAGCTACCTTATTATATAGGTAACCATTTTACAGATGAGGAAACTGAGGCAAAGAACTGTTAGTAAGTGTTCCAACTAGTAAGCTGGGTTGTATCCAGGCAGTCAGTCCCTAGACTCTTTGCTCTTAAGCACTGTATAAACCACATATATAGATATACATAATGCATAATATAAATTCCATACATGAATGTATATGGAGACACATACACATGGAGAGAGTATGTATATATTCATGCACATATATAAATATGTGTGTGTGTATATACATATATAGCAAGAGAGAAAGAGAACATGAAATAAATGCTAAGTGGAACTTGAAAACAAGGAATATCTTTTTCTCTCATTTATTCTCCATCTTCTAGGTAAAAAGAAATCAGTATCAGTGGAAAGACTTAACATGTCATCTAATAAATTAGCTACCATCAGAATTCCAGAATAAACCATTTCTAGTACTTTGCTTTTTTTTTTATAAAAGGCAATTTTGGCACACACACACACACACACACACACACACACAACTGGAAGAAATTACTGAAGAAAAACTACAAGAATTTAAATTGCAGATAAACATACTGAAATCAACCTGCTACTTATATCCCAGATTGTTTCAGACTTACATGTGAATAGTCTGATCACATGAAAAACCCTTGACATTAAAAGAAAAAAAGGAACTGATAGAGAAAACAAAATTTTTTGGCGTAGAGACCTTCCAAAGTTCATCTGTCCTAGTCTGTCATCTAGTGGAGAAACTATGTTACGGTTCCCGGATCAGATTTTTTTCCTGTCTCCAAGTTTTGAGTGTTCACATGCGTATTTATTCAAAACACTGACAATGTGCAGATTTTCTTCATCCATTTACAGAAAACTCAGAATCTTTCAACATCCACCATGCATTGCTATGAGATCCAGACATTGAGGAGCGAGTTCAAAACGGAAGAACCGAAGATATGAAGGCACAACCTGCAGTCAGGAGAGTAGGTCTGTGTCTTACACAAACCCAGGTTTCAACAATCAAGCTGCACCAGCTTCATATATACATAATATATATAAACACAAATTTCCAAAATAGGGCAGAAAATTTCAGCCTCACAAAACTGCCTTGTATAGGCATAGTCTGCCACCTTGTGCCCGAAAAGGACTCTCCGAGCTCTGGCACTTACTTCCGCATGCTAACTCCCTCCCACCTCACCTGACTAGATTTCTCTGCAAAATCAAAATCTACCTTGATTTTGCAGCCATAATATATCAACTCCAGCCAGTCCCAGCAAGATATCTGACTGTTTGGCATAACATTCAGTTCAGTTGAAACACATTTACTTAATGACCACCTTTATTTACTTACTTCTGCAAAATTCCACGAGGATCAAAAGAAGAGATGTTCTTGGTCCTTACCAAGACTACAATTCAATTAAGGGGAAAAGCATACAAGAAATGCAAGGCAGCCTGCAGTAAGTTCAATAAGAGAAATAAAAATGCAGACATTGTAGGGGTTCTGAGGGAAAGAGATGGACTCCACCTGAGGGTAAGAGCGAAGACACAGCAAAGTCCTTTTGCCTGAAGGCGCTGCACATGCAGACGGGCTGCAGATGATAGGCCCCACCAGGCAAATGAGGCTTGACAGTCAGTGGCCTTAAGTGATACTACATGTACCATTAGAGCTTAAGAAAGATCACTCAAACCAGGGAAGTGGCGGTGGGTGAGACGGGGTAGGGGTAGTTGGAAGGCAGAAGACTAGCAGAAAGGACACCCAAAGGGCTCTTGCTATCATCTAGAAGAAACCTCACAATTCCTCCTCACTCAGTCTTTAGGACCTGCTCAAGAAGGCATTAGTTTCAAAGATCCTATGGTGCTTTCAGATGTCCACATTTCAAAAACAATTTCTAATAAGGCAAACTCTACTAGTCATGATACTGATATCTAGAATCACAGGCTTTAAAATCTAGTATTAGATGGCCCCAAGGAAGAGGAAAAGAAGCAGACAGGTGTGGATGAAAGCCATGGAAAGGGGAATAGGATGCAGAAGGGGGAGGGGGGTGGGATAAGGGCTGAGAAAAAACTCAATGACAAAGTCTAGAAAGAAAGGAGAACAAAACTCCAATACAATCTCAAGGATAGAAACCCAGAGGAGAAAAAAGCAAAAATGATAAGTGAATTTACACAGTATCTGTGAGAAAATCTACATGAACATATATGGTTTAGGCTGTAGAAGATCTGCAAGTGGACAGTTTTACTAAATAAACAATAATTTATAAATTCACAGTGATACCTCATAAGATGCTCCCTATTTAGAAATATGGTTATTGCTGTATTTGAATTTTAAGTAGATTGTAACAATTGTTAGGTTAATACGTTTGTAATAGAATTTAAACCATTTATTTAAAACAGTAAAAGAAGCCTCTGGAAAATCTTACAGAGAAAAAGAAAAGATAAAAAATTTAAAGAAAGTAGCTAACGAAAATAAGAATATAACACCAGATAAACATTCAGTATGTAAGATAAGAACAAAAACAATTTTATGATTATAAGTTAGAACATTTCTATATGGAAACATATATATACTAGAAAATCTTAAAATCTGAATATATCATTAACCATGAAAGAAATTGGAAAATGTTATAAAAGAAATAGCGCTCAAAAAATCCTCAGGGCCAAATGGTTTACTAGTGTGTTCTTTAATTCTTTCAACAAATAGATAATTGACATGATACATGGACTTTGTCTGTTTTGGAATTAGTGGAAAAGATGGAAAGCTTCATAAAAAGCACTTCATTTTATGAAGCTAAGATGACCTTGATATCAAACCCTTAAGAAAATAGAACAAAATAAAGAAACCATAAGATAAATATCACTTATGTACATAGATTGGAAAAATCCAAGCAAACTTAATTGCAAAAGTGATTTTAAAGGTTCATTTTATATGACCAAAAAAAGCTTATCTCAAAAGTATGGAAACAGTTTAA